GGTGGGCACAGCCGTGTGAACATTTTGATCAAGTTGTCTCTGTCTGCAAGATGGTATCAGAGCTGCAGTTATAAGCCTAAACTTCAAAATTTACAGTGAGTATTAGCACAATTATGGGCTTGCTGTGGCTCATGCTGCTCTCCAGGACTGCACTGGGCTAAGTGCAAGGATTTTTATGGTCCTGCCTGGGGTGTCTGGCAAGGCAGAGCGCAGAGCTGAACCTGCGTGAGGGGCCGTTTCCTGGCAGAGGGCTGCGCTGCTGCCCGTCCGCACCGCCGTGTCCCGACGCAGCGCGGCAGCCATCGGCGCCCCGCGCTCTCCGCCCTGCAGCAGAGCGCACAGCTGCGCGCTGACCTCCTGGTACGGAACCGCGCTTGATCCTGCCTGCGTAAGGATGTTTGCAGCACATGCAGAGCCTGCTGCAGGTGAAAATACGGTCTGTTAAAATTGTAGAATGTAGCCCCCAAAATTCCTGGTCATTCTTTTGATTTCTGAAGATAGGTTCAGACTCTTCCAAAGTATCTTTGCGCTTTTTCTGAGTATTTTTGTTTCTTCTGAATTGTAATCATTTCCATACGTGCTGCCTAAAGTAAATGTTTACTGTTCTCCAAGCAGTTATTATAGGTGAATATCAACCTCCCTAAAAAAAAAACAGAGAGTCCTTCAGGACTCATCTTTCTGTTGACGTTTCACGGAGTTGGAGCATGGCTGGGTTTGACAGGAGCCCCTGGACACGAGCTGGTTGCTGCAAGCCCCCGCTTAAAGCAGGGCTGGCTGAAGCAGCTGCCCATCACCGTGGCCAGTGAGTTGAGCATCTGCAAGCATGGAGACTCCATTTCTGGGCAAGCTTCTCCAGGGTTTGATTAATGAGGACGCCAAACCCCGAACCAGGTGCACTTGGACACAGAGCATCAGAGCTGAAGAGCAAGTCTGTGCGTGTGCGGCCGGCTGCCATCGCGCTGCTCGCCACGCTGCTGTCAGCACGAGCTCCAGCCCCTGCAGAAGCGCGGCCAGCTGCTCTGCCGCTCCGCAGGAACCGCAGGCTGGCCCCGGCACAGGCTACTGCCCCCAGCTGAGAAAAGCACTAATTGAACAGGGGCACCAACAGGCAGACTCCAACCGGCTGGTTTTAACTCGGAAGCTTTTAGATAGTTTGGGACTTGCTTACATGACGCCACTGTTTTCCCACTTGAGCACAATCAGTAAATTAGCTGGCTAGAGCGTTTAAAACTGTTGACCGTTTCATAGAAAACAAGTTTCATCCAGTAGCTAAATTTCTATGAGAAAGGCACAACTGATGAATTTTCTGCACTGTGGGCCCTTTGTGAATTTGGTAGTTTCTGGCAAAACTATTTATTACAGAAACAATTTGGCACAGAGCTGGATTGATGATGTTATTTGAAAGTCCCAGGAGATTTTTTCACATTACGATGATGCTGCAGTGAGAGAAGTTTTATTCCTTGCATAAATTATTACTATTAATAACTGAACTATAAATTTAAATACTAATTATTATAATGAATCCTTTAGTACAGAACAATTATGGAGTGTTACAAACTCTGAAATAAACACTCTAAGTCTCTAAATAAACAACATATTTGTGGCCTGAAATGGGCATTTTTTTTGCAATTGTAGAGGGCCTTGGGGCTACAGACTTCAAAGCCATGGATTTTCATTTACTACAAAGGAAAGTAAATAAGCTTCAGAGAAAATGAGCATCAGATCTTGAATCCCATTGGATTTGGCCCCCCTCATATGGAATTTTTTCCCTGCTGTAGTTCATTCCCCTGCTTCAGTCTTTTCATTCAAATTCTTCTCCAAGGTCCCAGGTACTGTTGCATTTCTAGACCTCTTCCACACTGGATCTTTCTTATCTGACTTTCATTTTGCAAACTAGCAGGTCAGTATATTCTAGTTCTTTGAGTTTAAAAAGGGAAACTCCAAGGTATAGGGAGGCCAATCTCATGACCCTCCGCATTTTTTCTCTAGCTCTCATTCTATATCTGTGCGCTAGCCTTTATCATACCCCCTTTCTGCCATGTTTGTCTTTGATCTCGGCTTCAGGGCTTCCACAGCCTGTTTCGCTTGGCTCTGAGGAGCTGTGCCCGTCTGCAGTGTTAATGCTGCAAGAAAGCAGAGCTGTAGCTGGGCTGGGGCTTCCAAGGCAAACTTAGGGCTGCAAAACCACGCTCCGCATTTCTGCGTGGTCTCAGTCTGGCTTGAGGATCAGACTAGGGTTAAGGTTAGTGCTGAGACAGCCAGGGCTGCAGCTGGAGCGGGGCTGGTGCAGAGCTGACCAAGGGGCTGCTGCAGAACGAAGTCTCTGGAGTGAGCAGTGTCACCAGCCTCTGGCCAGGCCTAGGCTTGTGCCAAGGGTTAGGCTGGAGGAAAGAAAAACCTGGGGTGCAGTGGAGGGGGTGGAGAGGGCTGCCCCAGGCAAGGAGGGCCGCACAAGGACCACCCCCTGAGAAAAGCCCGGAGCAGGGCAGGCTCAGCGCTGGGCTGGCCTGCATGGCTGCCACCAGGTGCCTTCCCTCTTGGCTCTGTGCACGGCAGCCTCTTTCTGCTCATCCAGCAGCCCAAAACCGCCTTCCTCAGGGCAGGTAGCGCATGCGTGTGAAGCCAGGTGTCACCCCGGAGAGGAAAGGCCTAAGAATGGGAGGAGGGACTCCCAGCTCTGAGCAAGCTGCTTTACTGCAAAGGGAAGCAGGTGTGGAGGTCCAGGGCTTCTTGGCGATTTAAAGTGAGGCTTCCCCTCACAGGCGGAAGGCAGCCAGGGTGGCCATGGGCGGGCTGAGGCCTGGAGGTGCAGGGCAGCCACCCACACCTGGGGCAGCCACGCGGCTCAGGCTGGAGCTGCTGGAGCAGCCTCTGCCCCCTGCCATTTTGGTGCCCATGTCAGCAAAGGCGGCTGCCAACAAAATGGAGGGCAAACACACAGAGATTCGGGATTATGGCACTCCTGCAAGGTGAAGTTAACTTTTACAGCCGTGCTCTCCTTTATTTTCACACAGCTAATGCCACCTGCTGGAAACGGGGAGCAGCTCTGCGGGGGCAAGGGGCACGCAGCGCACCAGAGCCGGTAAGGACCGCGAGACGCGCGCAGCCGGGCACCCTGTGAGCCAGCAGCCCGGGGACTGCGCGTGGCCTGCGAGGGAGAAGCCCCGAGAGAGCCCAGGGCGCTGCGGGCGGCACCGCCGCTTC